TCTCTCTAAGGACACTCACCTAAACCAATAGAAAAAGCCCACAGTCCAAAATTCCTTTAAAAAAAATGCCAATGGTTCATCTTTAAAATTGCATATGAGCTGGGCTCAGTGGCTCAGCCTGTAATCCCGCACCTTTGGGAGGCTGAGGTGAGTGGATTGCCTGAGCCCGCGGGTTTGAGACCCGCCTGGGCAGTGAGACCTCATCTCTACAATAAATAAAAAAAAATCAGCCAGGCGTAGTAGCGCATGCCTGTAATTCCAGCTACTTGGAAGGCTGAGGCGGAAGGATCGCTGGAGCCCAGCAGGTCTAGGCTGCAGTGGCCGGGAGTGGCCACTGCACTCCAGTCTGGGCGACAGAGTGAGACTTCAACTCAAAAAATAAATAAATAAATAAATAAAAATTGTATATGGTGAGCCGGGCTCGGTGGCTCAGTCTGTAATCCCGCGCCTTTGGGAGGCTGAGGTGAGTGGATTGCCTGAGCCCGCGGGTTCGAGACCCGCCTGGGCAGCGAGACCTCATCTCTACAATAAATCAAAAAATCAGCCGGGCGTGGTAGCCCACGCCTGTAATTCCAGCTACTCGGAAGGCTGAGGCAGAAGGATCGCTGGAGCCCAGAAGGCGAGGCTGCGGTGGCCGGGAGTGGCCACTGCACTCCAGTCTGGGCGACCGAGTGAGACTCCAATAAAAAAAAAAAAAAAAAAAAATTGCATATGGTGTGGCTCACCACATAGAAAGCCATACCCATGGACACAGGGCTTCCAACTTTTTAATATTTTATCTTAAACATAAGCAGTCAAAGGTCACCATATATTGGAGAAAAACATCTTACATAAAAGGAAAATAAACAGAGTAAACAGATGCTTTGAGAAAACAAAGAAGCAATGAGTTGAAGATGATGTAAAAATAATTATATTTAATAAACTAAGAGTTAGGAAAAATAATGAATCTATATAACAAGAATAAGAAGCTATTTAATAAAGGGATATACAGAGATAACAAAAAATAGCTCATAAGAAGTACAAATATGGCAAGAGAAATGGGGGAAAAAATAGGGGAAGAAAGGAGAAAGTTGAGGAAATATACCAGAAAATAGAAAAAGTAAAAAAAGATAGAGAAAAGATAAAACTGGAAAGTTAGTCCAGGAGTTCCAATATTTAAAATAAAAAGAATTCTAAAAAGAAAAAAAAGAAAACGGGAGCAAAAGTAAAATTAAAATGCCCATAAAAATAGTCCTCCAACATTTCTTTGTCCAAAACGAGGGGCATGATTTTCCAGATTAAGAGGTCAGCAAATGTCCAGCACAAATAATGAAGAAAAGATCCATACCAGGTACTTCATCATATAACTTTCAAACAAAAAAGAGGATCCTAAAATTTTCCAGAATTGTGAAAAACAAAAATAGGCAAATATAAATGATCTAGAGACAGACTGACAACAGGTTTCTCAAGAGCAATTCTAGAAGCTAGAAGAGACCATGGAGTGGCACCATTACTGTTCTGAGGTACAATAATGTCCATCCTGGGATTCTGCCCCTAACCTAACTACAAACAAAAGCAGTGGAAAGTAAGACATTTTCTGATATGCAATGTTTGATGAGTAGGGTCCACTTTTTAAAAATAATCCTTGTAGGACTATATGACTTTTTCAACATTTTACATGTAATAATTTGATTAAAATTAATTTTCAATGTTCAAATAATAGTCTGAAAATACATATTATCTGTTAGATAGGAGAAATAAGCTCAACAGATCTATTGTACATCATACTGACTGTAGTAAATAATAATGCATTGTATTTTGAAAATCACTAAGATACTAGACTTAAGAGTTCACATCACAAAACACGGTGTGTGAGGAAATGCATATGTTAATTAGCTCGATTCAGCTAATCCACAGTGTACACATATTTCAAAATATCATGTTGTGCACAATAAATATACACTATTTTTACTTGTCAATTTAAAAAATAAAATATCAAACAAAAAAAGAAAATACACATTGAGTTACATAGATGCACTTAAGAAAGAAATTACTTACACCAAATTCCCTGGGCATAGCACAATAAAATCAGAAACAAATTTCTAAAATAGAATTTAATGGTCTTGAGATCAAGAAGATTAAAATGCTCATCTCTGGAAAGTACAGCGAAGCTGGCCCACTGTACTGCAGCAGGATAAACGTTATAATCCTCTTGGAAAGCAAGTGGTAGCATGTTTCAAATCCATAAAAATATTCATGCACTTTTGTCTGACTGAAAGCGCTACTGAGAATTTATCCTAAGGAGGTAAAGAATCCAAAAATAAGGAATACTACACTTCATGGTGACAATCAGTGCAGAGTTAATGTTTTAAAAAATGACAAGCAGGCAGGCTCGGTGGCTCAGCCTCTAATCCTGTGCCTTGGGAGGCTGAGGTGAGTGGATTGCCTGAGCCCACGGGTTCGAGACCCGCCTGGGCAACTTGGTGAGACCTCATTTCTACAATAAATCAAAAATTAGCCGGGTGTGGTAGTGCACACCTGTAGTTCCAGCTATTTGGAAGGCTAGGGCGGAAGGATCACCGGAGCCCAGCAGGTTGAGGCTGCAGTGGCCGTGACCGGCCACTGCACTCCAGTCTGGGCGACAGAGTGAGATTCCAACTCAAAAAAAAAAAAAATGTCAAGCAACCAAAGGTTCAAAAATATAGACATAGTCAAACAAGTTGGACACATCAACTTAGAGTATTATCAAAACTATTTGAATGACCATTATGAGACTGTGATAATACAAACATTTTTATGATACATTAATAAGCAAAAATTAAAAATATATGAATAAGTCAATTACGATACATCAATGTGATCAAGTTTTAGACAAAAGTTTTAAGTCATCACTATGAAGATTATAGCCATATTTTTAAAACCCTAATGTTACAAGAAACTGAATGAAAAAAACCAATAAAGAACATTGCAAAGGGAAGAAATGAGGAAAAAGTGGTTGCTGGGATTTGATGTGATTGAGGAGAGAACACATTTTTCCACTACCCTCTCTCCTTTCTGTTTACTGCAACTCTCAGTGGAAAGATTAACTCTATCCAAGAATCTGACCTATGAAAGATTAAGGAAAAATTCTCATTTCAAAGCTTTGCCACATTATTATTGACCAGGGATAGAAAAGTTCCTTTTGTCAAAAAAAAAAAAAGAATGTTAAAAACGAGACTCTCCCCCCACCCCCATTGGTCTGGGGTCCAGAAGGAGGGAATTGAGAAATAGTAGGAATACAAGAGATGTCTACTGAGAGACAGACAACCTGGGTTAAGAAAAGAGATGGGAGAACTCTCTAGAAGATAAGGAAGAGAGAGAAACTGGCAGCATGCAGGGACAGAAGGGACTCTGCCATAATGTCCAGAGCACTTTTTAAAACAATGATGCCTGTCATTTTCTCCTTCCATTCATGGAAAAATTCCCTTAGAATAATTGTCTATGCATAGTCCTTCCTTCTCACTACTGGTCCTCCTTAGACCACTCTGTCTAGATACATGCCTCTGCCTCCACTACTCCTCAGAAACTACTTTTGTCAAGGCTGTCAATGACCTCCATGTTGTCAAAGTCAACAGTCACCCTTTTGACCTCACTTGACTCAGTCTCTCAGCAGCATTCGACACAAGTGACCTCACCCTCTTCTGTGTAGAGCCAAGCTCCACCTAGGCTTCTTTAACACCATGCATTGCTGGTCTCCTCTTTCCTCACCAATTCTCCATCTTAGCCTGGCTTCTCCTCATCCTGCATCCAGCTTTAAGCTTGCAAGACCTTCCAACCTACCCCCAGTCTTCTTGCTGTCACCTCTCTCATTACTTAGTTTCGTCCACTTCTCATGATTTCTACTCCATCCACATGTTTGTGATTTCCACATGTGCAGTGCCAAATAGACTTCAGATGCAAACAGATATGCAATTGTCTACCTCACTTCTTCACTTAGATGACTCGTCCAAACTTAATATTCCCCCATAAATATGGTCTTCCATCAGAGCAAACTTCTGCACATAGTGACCAGAAGTCCTCACTGATTTCATCCTTCCTTTCCCAAATTCAATTCATCAGAGAGCCTTAGCAATTCTTGTGAGTTAAACAAATGTATCTGTAAGTTTAAATACATGGTTTTGGTTTATTAGCATAATTCTCTATTTAATTATACATAATCAAAGATAAGGCAATATTAAGTAACAAAACCTGCTAAAAGCGATTGTGTTCTTGATTCTAGATCTTACCTGTCCCTTTTTATCAGACCAAAATACAAGCTCAGTTCATTTTAAATAAAAATAAGTAACACAAGGGAATATATTATCATGAAATTAACTAACATAAAGCTATATGAGAAGTCAATAACAAAATAATTTCATAAATATAATCTGGGAGCTCAGATTTTTTACATATTTAATTAATACACTTAAGATTATTGAGTGCAGCACACGGTGGCTCAAGTCTGTAATCTCAGCACTTTGGAAGGCAGAGGCAAGAGAATTGCCTGAGTTCAGGGGTTCGAGCCCAGCCTGAGCAACATGGCAAGACCTTGTCTCTACAACAAATCAAAAAAATTAGTCGGGCATGGTAGCACATGACTGTGGTTCCAACTACTTGAAAGCCTGAGGCAGAAGGATCACCTGAGCCCAGTAGGTCGAGGCTGCAGTGGCCATGAGCGTGCCATTGCACTCCAGCCTGGGTAACAGAGTAAGACTTCGATTCAAAAAAAAAAAAAGATTATTGAATTTGATGCTATTTCTTAGCTTTAGTATTATAAAATTTACTATAACAAGGTGAAAATATAGCAAAAACATGAAAAGCATAATTTTAGAACTTTTTTCATAAAAACTTTACATTACCTCTATGCATAAGACTTCATCAGAATAAGAAGTGTATTGGAATCATGTTCATTTAAAGATCATCATTTATCAAAGTCTGGGATGCCAATTTCTATCTTCATTTATTATAACTTGTATTGAATTCCAATGGAGTGTTCAACTTACCTTTGAGCCTGGAGGGGGAGCCAAACCAAGGAATGAGTAGATAATATTCTCTTCTTTTGCAGAAAAGAAAGAGTCGAAATCCTTAAAGCAAAGAAAAAGAAAGTTTAAAATCATTGCACGCTTGTGAGTCAGTATGTTTACCCAAATTGATCTTTTTTATTTATTAGTCATTAAGTCAGGAGCTGACACAAAAGGTTATTCCAGCTTGCTTTGTCAAAGATGACTAACTCCAAAAGTGAAGAAATCTAACTGTGAACTTTACATTTGTTTTTATACACTTTCATTGTACCTGTGAAGCACAGTAAGAATTCACACACTACACAGTGCAGTAAGAATCCACACACAATTACTCATGCCCAAGAATTGCTGACAAGACCCAAATATACACAGTAAATGATTTTTCCAAAAGTTTCACATCTTTAGCTGGTTAACTTAAAATTTGTCCCTATGAATTTGGTCCCTGAGAAGTGAAGACTAAGATAACACAGGATATTTCTACTATTATTATAGTAGCTCTAAGGGCCTGGACTCACCTCAGGCTCTTTCAATATAAGAAGCCATAAGAGTATGGAGGACTTAGAGGGGGACTTGTTTTGGCAAAATGGGAAAAGCTGAAGTGGTCTAAAACCTGGTAGTGGATTGAAATCCGATGCTCACTGAGATCCCACCAGGACCAGTCCTTCACTAGTTCAGGCCTAAATCAGCTTCCTAGTAGTGTAGCTGTCAGTAGCTCAGAAGACTTTCATTTTTATAATTAAAACACAAAAGATATTCCCCCAAGCTACCTTATTACTGCCAAACTTTATCATCAGGGTCTTGATGCAATTGTAACAGTATTGCAAAAAGGCTCAAAAAGTCAAGAATTTGTCCTAGCTGGAATAGGACAATACTCGGACCAACTTAGTTGTTCACTGCCCACCCTACCCTTAGTGTGTAAGAAGCTTAAAACCAAATACAGGTCACAGTTATGGGGAAGAAAATATTAGGTATTACTGTGTATTAATTTTATCCAAAGCTTTATTATTTTCCTGTCCATTGCCCTAAGTCTCTCAGTGATTAATTTTGTTATTTTATACTGAATGCATTTTTGGAAGCTGCCTCAAATATTAATTGAAGGAAATATAATATAATGAGTAAGGGCAGAAATTTTGGTATCAGAAATTCTAATTGATTCCCAAAGTACACACTTACTAAATATTGTTAAAAGATTACATGAAATAACACATTATAGTTGCAGTATTAAGTGAAATGTAATAAGGTAAATGCATACTATTTTCCAAAAATTCCATAAAGACCTGATTATTTCTTTAGTTGCAACTCTAGCTTTCAAAGGAAGATTTTCTTATAGTTGACTAAATTATCTTTTGCTTCAATTTAAGACCTTCTTCAGAATTTCAGAGGGCTAAAGAACAATTTGTCACTATCTTTGACTTGAGGCTAGCAAATATATGTAGAAAATAATGAGTAAACAATGGTTTTACAGCTTCTAGTTCTATTAGTATTTCCTGAAATGCTATCTCAAAAAATAAAATTTTTAAGTCAAATTAAGAAACAAAAAGTATAAATACACTGCTGAACTAGCAGTAAAGAGAAGACTATCACCAAGTGAGAGCATGAATCCAAAGAGTAGCATACACCAAGGCCACCATTAATACTGAGTGTCTGACAAACCTAGGAAATTTTATCTTCACTTTGATGTTGAAGAGGGAGAAGGGAGAAGTAAATAAAGGCTACAGTCTAATCAAGGTGGAGCATTTCATAAAACATACACACGCAGTGTCCAGAACTTCAGAGGGTTCTACCTTCAAAGTAAATATAAATGAGGAATAACCCTGCCACACACAACAGAATGAAAGGAAACATCCCTAATCCAACTTTGGTGCAGAGTGAAGGGGAAAATAGTCATCTCTGGGAATTTATAACCACAAGCAGAATTTATGAGAATCTGTGGTCCAAATGCTCATGCCATGTGTGGTTCCAAAAATCTTAAAGGGAAATATTAACTTAATTTAAAATGTTTCTGAGTTTTACACAGCTCTCAGGAAACTAGCAGAAACAAATTCCAGGCCTCAAAGAATATTCAGTGTTATGGCATGAATGTGGCCCTCTAAAAGCTTGTATCAGATACTTAATCCCAATGCAACAGTGTTGGGAGGTAGGGCCTAATGGGAGGTGCTTAGATCATGAAGGTTTCACAGTGAAATTGGCTAATACCAGTTATTAAAATGCTTTAGGCTGTGAGTTTGATCTCTCCTTTTCTGATACTGTCAGCCATGTTGTGACACAGCAAGAAGACCCACACCAGATGCACCCCCTTGATCTTAATCTTGTACTTCCCGGTCTCCAGAACCACAGGCTTAATAAATGTCTGTAGTTTATAAATTACCCAATCTGTGGTATTCTATTATAGCAGCACAAATTAGACTAAAATATCTACAAATAAAGTTTTTAAAAATGAGCAGTTCAGCTGGGCTCAGTGGCTCAGCCTGTAATCTCGCGCCTTTGGGAGACTGAGGTGAGTAGATTGCCTGAGCCCACGGGTTCGAGACCCGCCTGGGCAGCGAGACCTCATCTCTACAATAAATCAAAAAAATCAGCCAGGCATGGTAGCGCATGCCTGTAATTCCGGCTTCTCGGAAGGCTGAGGCAGAAGGATCACCGGAGCCCAGCAGGCGAGGCTGCGGTGGCAGGGAGCGGCCACTGCACTTTAGTCTGGGCGACCGAGTGAGACTCCAACTCAAAAAAAAAAAAAAAAAAAAATGAGCAGTTCAGAGTCAAATGTCACAAAATAAATGAGGGAATAAAAAGACAACATGACTATGAGCCAGCAAAAATAACAGAAGTCAGAATCAGATATTGGAATTATCAGGCAGAGAATATAAAATGGCTACATTTAGGCTGGGCTCAGTGACTCAGCCTGTAATCCCAGCACTTTGGGAGGCCAAGGAGAGTGGATTGCCTGAGCCAACAGGTTCGAGACCAGCCTGGGCAACCTGGCGAGACCTCGACTCTACAATAAATAAAAAAATAACTGGGTATGGTAGCGCGTGCCTGTAGTTCTGGCTACTTGGAAAGCTGAGGCAGAAGGATCACCAGAGCCCAGGAGATTGACGCTGGGGTGGCCGTGAGTGTGCCACTGTAGTCCATCCTGGGCATCAGAGTGAGACTCCAACTCAAAAAAAAAAAGACTACATCTAATATGTTTATAAAATAAAAGAGAAGCTTGAAAACACAATAAATAAGAAACTATAGCCAGGCATGGTGGCGCATGCCTACAGTTTCAGCTACTTGGAAGGCTGAAATGAAAGGATCACCTGAGCCCAGCAGGTCGAGACTGTGGTGGCCATGAGCATGCTACTGCACACCAGCCTGGGCAACAGAGTGAGACTCCAATTCAAAAAGAAAAAACTAGAGAGAAAAATCAAGCAAATTTGGGAAAGAACCAAAAAGAACTCAAAAATGAAGACATATAATAACCAAATAATAAAACCCAATATGGGGAGTTAAAAAGACACACACCTGAAGAGAAAATTAGCTAACTGGAAAATGCAATCAAAGAAATATTTTGGAGAGAAAAAAAGAGATGAAAATATTGGAAGAAATACCATTATATGAAGACAGAGTGAGAAGGTCTAAAGAGATAATAGGAGAAAAGCTATAATCAAACACATAACTGCTAATAATTTTCTGTTGAAAGATACCAATCCTTAGTCTCAGGAAGGCCAATAAATAATCCTAAACTAGATAAATAAAAATAACTCTAAACCTAGACACTTTCTAGAGGAAGATTATTTAAAAACACAAAGCAAGAGAGAAGGAGAAGGAGGAGGAGGAGGAAGAGAGAGAGGGAGAGGAGAGAAGTAGGGAAGGAGGGAGGAAGTTTTCCAACAAAAGAATGGTAACTAAAATAACAACTGACTTCTCAATAGCAACATAGAAATCAGAAGAAAGTAAAATAATAATTTCAATGTGTTTAGAAAAAAATTATCATCAACCTACAATTCCAGACCCAGTAAAACTACTTTTTCAAGTATAAAGGTTTATCTAGAAAAAGTCTTTTTTAAACAAACATTTAGATAATTTACCACCAAGAGACCCTCATTTTAAAAAATTATAGGATCTGTTTAGGCACAAGGAAATGATTCTAGATGGAATATCTGAGAGTCAAGAAGGAATAATGAGTAAAGATAATAGTAAATATGTGGGTAAATCTTAATCTAAACAGACATTGAGTTAAAACCAACAAATAGAAATGTCTAATTTGTGGAGTGGGATAAGAGATCAACAAACTGGAATATTAAAAAACTAAACACATGTAAATAAGGAGAGTGATTCAAGTGTCTAAAGGTCCTGTTAATGTTTGGGACAAGAGTGAAAATACTGATTATCTTTACCTAATTAAGATTAAGTATGGGTGTTAAAATAACTAAGTTAACCACTAAAATCATAGATTACTTGAAATAAATAAGGAGAAATAAACTTAGAAAATAAGACTTTAGTCAATAAAATGAGGTCAAGAAAGGATAAAAAAAAAGAAACTGCAATAGAGGGGGAAAAAAACAGCACATAAAACAGAAGAAACTCCATATGTCTCCATCATTTCAATGCATAGGTCCAAAAAAAGTATTATATGCTATAAATGTTTTAGAATTTAATAAGGAAAATATTGCATATCAAAAGATATTAAATGAGTTAGCAATACTCAGTGAAAAATTTATAGCCTGAAATATTTACATTAGAGAAAGAAAAAGGTTAAAAGGTAGTGAGCTAAGTATCTAACTGAAGATTAGAAGGGGAAAAAAGAAGCTAAAGAGTATAGAAGAAAAAAAAAATAAAGACAAGAGCAGAAACTTAAACAGGAGAAAAACTGGGCACATAGATACAGAGATCAGAAAGAGTCAATAAGCCAAAATACAACAACAAAAAAAATCCTATGAGCAAGATAAATCAAGGAAAAAAAGACACAAAAGAGGCATATTAGGAATGACTCAAGAACAGGAACACATAGTTTCAACAGATAATAAGAATATATTTTTTAAAACTTTGGGACCATTGCCTTACTAAACTCTGGTGTAGCCACG